ACGATTATTAGAGATCGGGCGATAAAAAATTTTTAAAAATTGGCGATCCTCCAAGTCGTATCGACGACTTCGTTAAGGATAGAAGGCGGCTGCGAAGAAACCAAGAAACTCCGATCGCAATTAAGAAGCGTGATTTCCTAATACATAGTTTCACATATTTTTATGATATGCAGCGTGTTCCATATAAGAATACATCTTATAATCACCGAACAATTTTTTTAATTGCAAAGTTTACAAACTCACTCTAAATAATTGATATCAAATGAATCAGTGAAAATAAAGTCTTGTAATTTTTTTTTTTTGCAAAGCACTCATGTAAACATATAACGTAAGTTGCGGAAGAAAATGAGGAAAAACTTGAGCAATAGAATTTGTAGTGGAAGCACTCTAAATCAGAGTTTCCCACGTTCCCGACTCTCGCCGTAAAAAAAAAAATGCGTGTGCTTTCGGCGAGAGAAGTACGAGAAACGCTCTTGACAACATTCCAATAAATCTACGGAAAAGCAAAACGCGTCGGCATCTTGCATTCTTCGCGTCGCCGCAAACTTTTTCCCCTCCCCTTTCTTTTTTTATATATATATGTATATATGTACACCTACGTATCTCATTCCATATATTTTGTAACTCGTTCGTTAATTTCCTTTTTTTCCTTTTTTTGGTCGCTTTTGCAATATATATCCATCGATTTAGGTATATATATCTCACTGTTGTACCCGTTCGCATACGAAATTCCCGCTCCTGTCTTGTGTGTCGAGCGGACACGCTTCCTTGCCTCTTTCATTAACTAAGTCTTTCCACACACTTGAAAAATTACGATCACAACAAATGCGTGTCTGGAGGAAAAAGAGCTCAAACTGCTGAATAATATCTATATAGCGCCGGCCATTAATTTGCAAATGCCTATAAAAACTTGATAAAATTTCGAATCGACAAGAAAACGATCAAACATGTAAGCCGGTTCTCTTTTCGTATGCCAAACAATTTTTTTCATCAGAAACACGAAGACGAATATTAATTCGTATTCGTGTTAAGGAAAAAAAATCGCGGCATCGTGTAGATCTTTTTTTCTTTTTCTTTGTTACTTTTTAATTTTGTATAATTATTTATAAATCGGAGTGTTGTATCTTTTTTTATTCCTCGTATATCCCATTATAATAATCGCGATTTATTATTCAAATTATCAAGTTTCTATTAATGCCGTTTTAAATTTCCATTCTGGATGTTGGAATGAATGAACTCGTGAACTCGCGAAAGAATGGCTCTAGGTCCAAATACGCACTCGCCATAATCGTGGCCTACGAGAAAGAGAGAGAGGTCGAGCATCTAACACACACGCGTACGAACTGTGACCCAGCTAAACACATACATGGCGATGCGCGTTAACGTACTTATCGTCGAACAATAGCTTTCACGAAGCTACAAAGCGAATTGCGAAGGCGGATTAGGCTTGTGGACCGGTTCCGTAGTCTTTCTCGCTCATCGCGCTCTGTTTGTACAAGTGCCCTTCATCGTCGTCGTCGTCATCGTGTGCGTTCAACTGCATATTACTCGAGTAATTTATGGTATCTGAATTCATATCCCCTCGTCACGATAATTTTCCACCGCCTTCGAATGCGAATCTAAAAGTTCACTCCAAACTTCAGCAGAGTTCTTATTCGAAAGATATTAAAGATCCGTTATCTTAAACTTGAATTATTTTTTTTTTCGTTCTCAAAATTTAAGTGAATAATCGTGACGCAAAATGTCAATATTTTATGTTCGTTGCCGGTCTTATAAAAAATCCCAACTACTCGACTTCGATGTTTGACATAATGAAACATTTTATTTATTAATTATGGATTTTTTTTCGACGCGTGTATCGTTGGTAGTTTTCTCTTTGCGAAGTGTCGCGATTATTTGTGCGATTATATGAGCGTTGAACGTGCATGACATTACTTGATATGTAGCGCTGTTCGCGAAGAAGCGTTTTCGTAAAAACTTTAGAATCGACACAGCCTGCTTTTTTTACTCATGAAAGATTATAACTCGCTCCTATTCTCTCCTCTCTACAGCAACGGCTTTTTATTCCTTTCTCCTCTCCTTCCTTTTTTTCCTTCCGTTTTAATTTCGACTTCTGCTCGTCTCGCATAAACTATGTAAATCCAATCTAAGTTTCCTGTGTGAGACGTCCTCTAGTAAGGAGACGAGAATTTCGGAGCAATTGTATCGTAATAATTCTTATTGCGCTTTCAATGTAAATAGCTATCAACACTAACATTATACTTTGTTCCTCTTGGCCCTGTATATGATTTTTGTACGAGAGTTTCCAGACCGGAGTGATAGGCACTGTGTTTCCTTTGTATCTTATTTTTCTCAGTTTCATCCGATTTTTCTTTTTTTTAATCCTTCTTTCCCTTCCCTTTCCCAGATACCACCATTTGTCCTTCGCCCTCGATCGTTTCTCGAACAGAAAACAAAAAAAAATAAAAAGAAAAAAACGAAAGCGTTGATTGCGACGCGCGTTAATTGGCGCAGCGTGATGGTCGCTCGTCTCCACGGTGAGAAAAAAAGGAAAAAGAGAGAAAAAAAGAAAATTTGCGAGCGCGAAAATTCGAGCAACTCATCTCGTTACAATCAGAAAAAAAACTATTATATTTGCCATTTTGTTTTGTCTACAATTTTCAAGGATTAATCGTACTTCGTATAAGGATCAAAGTCGTTCGATCGAGGAGGCATTCGCCGAGACCTTTCCTCTCTTTTCGCTCAATTGGCGGTAGCAAAAGTACGAATAATCATAGCAGTATCAATAATAATATATCAATGATAAGAATAATAATAATATGACGATAAAATCGCGTATATAATTATATTAAAAGTAATATTAATAATATTAATAAATTGAACAAAACAATGTTAATATATACGAATAATAATAATAATATAAACGTATAGATGTGTATACTATATGTTGAAAACATAGCATAATAAATCTTACAGAAAAATATTAAAAGAAAGAAACGGCTGGTAGTGAACTCGCTGGTATCGGTGCGACTATCGCTAATCACCGTTTACGAACAATCGTCGGAAATTAACCGCTACGCGAACGTAAATGTAAAGGAGACTATGAGATCAAATGTTTGATATATCTCGATAACCGCGCGCTCTCGCGCAACCAAGCGTGGCTCGCTCGCTCGATCGCTGCCTGATGCCGCTGGATCTTAACCGCTGGATTCAACGTTGATCGTGCAAGCGATCGATCGGAGAAACGCTCGCATGTTATCTTCCATGTATATAAGTGTATGTGTGTATGTATGATGTGTGTACGTGTGCTAGTTCCCGTTCTCGACCGAAGCGATCGTGCTTTCCTCCCTCGGATTTTCTCTTTTCTTTTTTTTTTCTCGAACCTTAGGGATGCGCACAATTGGACAAAGATACCAAAAGGTAAGTGGAGCGTCCGACAAAAAGGACAGCTTTACAAAAAGTATTCTTCAAAGCATGACGATCCGAAAGAAAATATTCTTTGATGTCGGGAATATCTCGAGGATACATCTGAGAATATTCTGAGCAAATTCTGGAAATATCTCGAGAACATTCTGTCACTTCGCACGTCAACTTATTGCCAACTCGATGAGATTTACGTACGATCGATCGTCACACTAGGCATATCATTCTATATATTTGTTATCGCATTCTATATATTTGTTCCAAACCGACGTCAAAGTAGCTGTTCCTTTCACGAGGGAGTTTTTCTGGATAATCTTTTTTTTTTTTGCCGATCGCCTCGCCGTTCCTCCGCGGGAGGATTATCGTCAACGTAGCGATATCTCGCGCATTATTCACTTTTCAACATGAATATCGGTATTTTAATATACATATTTTATATATTTATAAATAAATATATATATGTATATTTATTTATATAATATATAAAAGTAGTAAAGATATAGCAACGCGCACGTATTATACCAATCAACGTTCTTCCCGCGTTCAATTTCATCTTACATCAGGATACAGATTTTACAAATTCTCAGATTTTTATTTATAACAATCAAGTAGCGCTTTTTTTATTTCCACTCCTGATTCATCATGCAAAAATGACTTCGTCACGCCACATTTTGCTTTAATGTATCAGAAGTGATAAATATAAGTAAAAAAAAATACATAAAATAAAACTGAAACTTATCATCAATTTTCTGTTTTAACATCGTCTGAAATTTAATAAAATGTCAAAAATATATAGAATGTAATGACAAAAGCATAAAAAAGCAAATAGAAACGAACACAAATCTTTTCGTTTTTAAAGACGAAAAAATTTTAGTACTTTCGTTTGTACTCACCTTTGCATCGTCAATCTTGATTGCATTCAATCCTTATAATTTAAATTAAATATCAAGTATTTTTTATTATGTTTCATTAAATTTTTCATTCTCTTGTTTTTCATTAGGTTTAATTTTTAATTCTAATGTTTTTATGCTATATAATTTTAGGTACATCTAATGTATATTTAATATATTCGAATTTAGAAAGAACGCCGACATCATATGCATAATACGCGCGCATTACGTATCACTATCGAAGATGTGTGTGTTTATTATACTTACATATTTCGAATATATATTATATTCTACTAAATACATATTTTCTCGGTATGTACAACAAAAAGTGGGCAGCTGCGAGTCGCGCGGAGAACTCGAGGAACCGTTTTGTAAAAATGAAAAGCTTGCTCGCCTCCGAATTGTCTTCTCAATCTCGCCTTCGATCCGCGCGACTCCAGTCGCCCACCCACGATTACCGATATATCTTCGTACAAAAGTATACTACAATACATATACAAAGAAAAAACACTCGAAACCGTCACTCATCGTAGCTGTCGGTCGTCTTCTCTCTTTTTTTCAACGACTGGTATTTCGTTAATGCCGCGAAGGTGATTCTTTGCAAAGCAAAAATCGTCAATCTCGTGCTGTGCTGATATTCGAAATACGAAACGGAGCCAATGAAAATACCTAATTGTTTTAAATATCTAACAATTTAATATATTGGCGGACTAGTTCGTAAAAAAAAGTTCAGCACTCAAAATCGCTGTTGTTTGTTCTCTGCAATCGTGGCGTTGAAGGCGTATATTCGCGAAACGGAGGTCCATTAAATTAAAATATATGCAATGACAGAACGTCTCTCCCGGTCCTGTACGCGGCGAGATAATGGAAAATCCTACTTTAATATTTTTCGCAAATTCCTCCAAGACAAAAAAAGAATCATGAAACAAGGTCACGTAAAATGCACTATCTCCTGAATTTATCTTAATGGCTTATACATGCTAATTATCATCCATTTTATGGATATCTCGCTATCCACAAAGATTATACGGTCGAGGATAATTACAACCCAAACGATCTCTTCCTCTCGAAAAGACATTCTGATTCAATGTAACGATTGGTTTCGCGAACACTCGCCTGCATTAAGTATAAAAGCGATCCGAGAGCCACGACGCGTGTCAATTTGAGAAAAAAAATCGTGGAGGCGTACATTTTTAAGGAGCAATATCTTCTCAAGCGCCAAGTACAAAAAGATGAAGACATGCGATGGCGAATGACGATACATTCGGCCGTCTGTCAAAAATCGAGTCATATGTAATTCGCGTGGGGAAAGGGTAAAAAAAAGCACGACGTTAGCAGTCGTGATAATGCGCGTTATCATGTTCTCGCTAACACAATCAGTCCAAATCTTCGAATCGATCGATTCGCGAGATGCTTTCGAACACAAACATTTCTTCCTGCGGAGAAGGCTCGTTCATCCTGAGGACTGCAACCCATAATGCGGTTGATAAACACGCCAACAATCCTCCTCCGTGAAAGAAGCGTTGCACACAAATTGAAGACGACATCCATATCCTTATGTGTTATTTTTTTCTTGATTTTTTAATAACTCTTGTCTGGTAGGAGGTACTCGTCACTATGATTAAGGAACATGGTAATTATGTCAGTAGGATTAGACGTGAAATCTACATCCTTCATATCCTCCATCCCCTCCATGTTCGTCAGATCAGCACTCAGTTCGGATAATTCGGAAAGTTCGGCGTTGTTGATCAATTCTTCGAGTTTGACAGGGTACGTAATATTACTAAACGAATCATCAGTGAGCAAGGAGTCTTCAGCGAGGAGGACTCCCGTAGTGCCAGTCGTCGTCGTCGTAGGAATGGATGGTATGATGACCGGTTGTTGCGTAAGTAACGTCGATGAAACGTCCGCGTCCGTTAGCAAAGAATGCGACCAGTACGGGCTCATATCCCGCTTCATGTTAAAAATCGTCTCCTTTATTATCTTCTCCTCTTTGACGTGGAAATTCGTCGCTGACTGCCGACCGCCAGAAGCCGAGTTCGTGCGGCAATATCCGCGATTCGGTCGCGTCACCGATGTTATATCCGGCAAATTAAGATTCTTGCTTGCGAAATCGTTTGTGTTATCCAATTCGACCTTAGGTTCCTGCTTGATCTTGATGGGGATTATATTGTACGTCGGGTGTTGGGCCATGGAGGTGGACTCCGAGTAGTTATCGTCGTAGAAAGTGGCGGACTCCGGTGAATCCGGGGTGTCGCAGGTCGGGCTGGTGGGCACTTTAGCAGTCACTATGGGCGGCGCCGAAGTGTAATCCACATCAGAATGTAATGCTGTATTGTGCGGTGTCTCCAGAGTCTCTAGAGTCAGTCGGACTTGCTTGGCGTTCAACCTGGAGACCGGTTTGTTCGGCAGAGTCTGTAGCTTCTTCATCGGCTTCTTCAACGTTTGCTGCTGGGTGTTGTTATTGTTATTATCATTTCTCGTTCTGGTTGCGTGACTAGCGGCGGATGTCGCCGAGGGTGGCGACATCGGGGAAGCGGCCACGTATGAGGTATGTACCATCGGGCTGTTTGACGACGTCGACAATGACGTTGACAATGACGACGTCGATGGCGACGGAGATGGTGAAGGCGACAGTGATACGGATGGAGACGGCGACGGCAACGATAATGACGCTGATTTTCGCGGTCTCTTCCTCTCCTTTGTCTTCGAGATCTCGGCGGGTTTCGAGGACTTCTTCCTCGGTCGGTACTTGTAGTGTGGATATTGTTTTTGATGCAGCTGCCGCAGTCGCTCGGCCTCATCTCTGAAAGGTTGTCTAACCTCCTCATCTAACATCTTCCACTTTTTCCCTAATTTCTTGCTGATCTCGGCATTATGCATATCCGGCTGTACTTCGCATATCTTCCTGCGTTCCATCTGCGACCAGACCATGAATGCGTTCATAGGCCTCTTGATCCGGTTTGGATTGTTCTTTTTAGTCTGCAACAGAGAAACAGCAAAAAGATCCTTTATTTTTCTAAATTCTAATATTTCCAGTATATATAGTATTTTTTTTTATTTAAAAAATGACTATTGTTAGTAGGTATATTTCAAAATTGCATCAATAATCCAATAATTTCGATATTCATCGATTTATAATTTGACATGATTTTTATTTCATCGAATTAACCGCGATCTTCGCATTAGACAGACACAACCCGGAATCGAACGGCCATACATTCGACGTTAAATATGGGATGCGACGAATGCGAGTCGGGGTATTTTTATTTTTTTTCTTCTTTGCGGCTGACGCATCACATGAACCGCGATCGAATCGATCGGAAGAGAGCGCTCACGCGTATAAAAAAAAGAACAAATATACAAAACGAATCGAGAGACACGACACCCGTAATAAAGCGAGCGGCTGCTCCCGTTTCGGCAGTAATTTCCGACATTACGCGACACGGAAAAGACTCCTTGCCGCCTCACGGAATCGAGGGGCCCCAAGTTCGGCTGTGCGTGCGTGCGTGCACATGTACACACGCGTGTGTATCTGCGTATCGACACGTTATTCACAATTAGCCCGCAGCTGACGGAAGCGGGTGACCAAGGCCGAGCTCGAGAGACAGACTCCGCATCTCAACTCGCTTTACGGCGATGGCCTTCGCGAACTTGACGGAGAGCCGAGCAATCGCGTGCATATGTGCGTGCGTATGTGCACCGCTCCGGGCTATATGCGCGTCTCGTTTCGCCGCGGATATATATATATATATATATATATATATATATATATATTTATATACATATACGCACATACGTACACATGAAGAAACACGCACGCGAGTCTCTACGGGCTCTGCGTGACAAACCGCGTAAAGACCGTATCGCGCTAATCGTAGCAAGGACTATCCGGATCGCGATTGCGTTGCGCACGCATATATTGGGGAGAACGAATCGATCGAGCTCCAAATCTCGATTCGACGGAATTTTGCGACCTCGATTTTTGCTCGATCTTTATTCGCTTCTACACGAACGCGTACAACGACTTCATTCTGCAATATACGACTTTAAACTCTCAGTGGACGGTGTAATACGATCTTAAGAAGAACGTGCCAAAGGGATTCTTTCGTTCGTCGAAAGAGAAAAGGGAGAAGAGCATCGAGCCAATATAATTTTATTCTCGACACTGTCCATAAGTATGAAAAATAAAGTAAGAGATAGCTAATTAATATTTTAAATATCCCAAACGTGCGAAAAGAAAGATTATCTCTGTTGCATCAAGTCTAATGTTTTAGAATTACAGAGGAAAAGCAGAAAGGAAAGCACTCCTCTTTTTACTCTTAAATATTAATAGAAAATTTCACCTCTTTCGCCATCATTAAATTAATAAAGTGTAATGAAAATAAAGAGAGAGAAAATAAGGAATGCTTTTTCGTTCGATGTTTTTTATAGAGCAATGTAAAAAAAAAAAAACATTCGCGCAACTACATCTCTCGCTCCTCGCAACGTTGATTGAAAAACACTGATAGCTGGGGCCGCGCGATCAACATACGGAATGACAATCGCGTCCCTCGGTGGATTCGTCGATGCTGCGCTCTTCCGCGATCGTGATCGGGGAGACGGAAGAGGAGGGAAGGTAAGAGAGAATCATAGATCAAACGCGATTCCGCCAGCGCGTTATCGCTGAGAAAGGAAGAGGAAAAGCCGAAGCGCGTATTGTCCTTTTCGGTCGCACGCGACTTCGCGGTCGCGAATCGCGCAAAAAAGAAGAGAGAGAGAGAGAGAGAGAGCAAAATCATCGAGGGGGACACGCGTATAATCGGTATAGGTATACATATACATATATGCATCTACATAGAGTCGGCCACGGGCGACTCAAGGCTCGCTCGTTGTCGGTGACGCACAAATGACGAGTCGCTCTTGTAAATCACCTCGCCGCTTCCTAGTCGCGCGGCCGTGAAACACGGAATTGTCATTTGTGCGGCGAAACGTGAGAAAGTTTCAAATGGTTTCGGGCCGCGAATGCTTCTCTCTCGGTTTCACAGCCCGATTCACAGATACTTCCCTGTTCACTAAATAGGCGCGCACACAATGATAGGTACTTCTCTCCTCGAGATTGAGATAAGCTTCATAAACGTCGAGGTGCGCGATTATAATTTTAGAATTATGATCGAAGGAGAAAAAATATTTAAATCTCTTGCAATATATAGGCAATATAAACCTTTTTACAATTTAAATCTTTATGAATAAAACTATAAAATTTAATGTAGTTATTTTAAATATTTTTTTATATCCGATTTAGTGACGTAATGATATCTTGCAATTTTTTATATATACATATATGTTATGCGTCAATATAAATACCTAATCATCAATCTTTATTGATTTTACGATAAGTATAGATACATATACTGTCGAAAAATATCGCAATACTTTGTTTACGTCGCCGTCACAATTACCTTAATCGAGCGTATAAATATCTAGAGATGATAATCTCTAATTGGTTAAATGACCGATATATGGCTGAACGCTCGACTGTCCGATCATCGAGAATGATTATTTTGGCCAGACGGAAGTCGTTCACGAAAATTCGGCCGCGGCTCTCTCGCGATCCGATTTATGTAACACCTGAGAGATAGAGCAGGATGAACCTTGCGTCTCTCGCGCAATATCTGACGCAACACATCATCGTGTTGTATATCGAGGCGGCCTGATCGTTTTTGACGAGCTACACGCCGCAAAAATGAGAGAGATATCGGGCGGCGCGCGCGATCGACCTAATGGATTCTCCTCTCGACGTCGGCCCGAATCTGGAGGTCTTAAAGAAAAAAAAGCCGCCGAGGTGAAGCCCCCGGGGGGCCACCGCTCTGGCGGGGCTCCGATAAATCATTATCTTTGCCGACCGGCTTTTACCTGCGACCCGTGAAAATCGCACGGACACGAAACCGCCAAATCGAGCGTGACTGTTGCTCGCGAGAGGATCGTGTCGAAAGTATGGTTTCCGAAGGGATGCGATGAGGTGGGTGAGGTATATTTGGTCGAATAGCTTATTGTAACTTCGCCATATGTTTCCCTCGCATTGTGATGTCGTTAAAGTGGATATATCTCGCCACGTATCTCGACAGATTGGAAAAATGGTTTATGGACGGTTTTTAGAGCCTAAATCTATTGCCTGCACTTATATTGCCTGGACTCGGAATTTTTAAAGGTCTGGAAGGAGATTCTAGTCTCATAATATTAATCTTAAAAATTCCAAGGCGCATACACGCAGAAAATTTTCTCTTAGAATTTACCCTGAAAATCATAGTAATCGTGGTATAACAATATATTTTATATCTCATCGTGCTAGATATTAATATTTTATATATGATTTTCAAGATAAATTTTAAGAGAAAATTCTGTGTAGATATTTTTTTACAGCGTGCAAGTAACTCCTCGGACAAAAAAAAATCAAAAATCATCTTGCGAAATTTTAACACGATAACGATATATATACCGGTTCTTGCGAAAGAGGGAAGGAGGTTCTTCGAATCGACTAATTTCCCAAATCGTCTCGGTCCGCGAACTTTCCACGAAACAGTAGACCTTGACGTGTCGTCGTTGATGGGTCCAAAACACGCGTTACGCAACGCGCGTAATTATCGGGACGCATAAACGGGTGCCTCCTCGTCGACGAAGAAGAAATCGTGCGCGAGCACAAGGGCATCGCATTCTGATCTGCTTGCGATTTGCGTTGCTTATTAAACAGCGGTGTATGTTAATGCGGCTAACGCGCCGTGTATGCGCGGCGTGTGCATTATACTTTCAGATGTCGGACGGTCGACGTACCGCGGCGGAGATCGCGAGGCTGAATGTAGGTTACGAAAAGGAGAGCCATCGCCTCTCCGATTCGCATCCCGCGCGTTTATATTCAGCGCGATCTCCCGTTAGACGCAATTCAAATCGAGAGAATCGTCCGATCTCGGTGTTAACCATTGTTAGTGTGTACGTAGCTGAATGGAGGATTCTTGACAACTTGATTTACAAGCGCTAATAAAAATTTATCCGCTACTATATTGCGCGTCAGAATATTTTTTAGACCTAGTCAAAATATATTGTAGGCATGCAGCGCCAATTAGATAGACGTAGATAAATAGAAGAATACTATAGCTAGAGCTTGAATAGCGCAACGGGAAACGTGGTAAAGAACAGGCGGCCAAAGGGCTTCATTTTTGAGTTGTCGGAATAAAGAAAAAACCATAAAAAATATATGATACAAGAGCGAAGAATACAAGAAAAAAGTGGGAGAAGTATTAAGTATAGGTATAATATTTTAAATGAAAAAAAATGCTTCCTTTCATACATCACTAATTATTTCATAAAATTTCCAGCGGCTATCACGATTTCCTTGTTTTAATCATTTTTAATCAACTTTCCTTGCGGGTTTTTAATTACGTTCGAAAATTTAAGCGCGCGTACTAATTAAATACGTCAAGATATTTTTATTTGACGAGGAAGAAGTTAAATTACCCAATGACATCCCGCAAACCAATGACTCCATACTGTATTTACACAACATTTTAAATTAACGTATGAAACAGCCAATTAACGAAAATCGGGGAGTTCCCGACGACATAAGATTCAGCGGCGATGAAGAAGAAGTTCGATTGCTTCGCGCACACGAAACCGGTACCGTACATACATATGTACATACGAAGATCGAGAATCGTACGCGGTAGTACGAGAGGAAAAGAAGAAGAGACGACGGCGTGTGCCCCAAAAGTAATTTCGTGACGCCCGGTCGTTATTTACGAGCACCTCTCTCTCTCGCGCGCGCGCGAGCCTCTCGGCGATGCATAATTTCGTGGCGTGCAACAAAGTGGCCGGCTGCTGTTTCTGCGGGTAAAACAACCGGCCGCTTCCGTTGCTGCGCGCTGGAGCTTTCTCTCTCTCTTGCCTTCCTCTTCGCGTTGCTGGCCTGCCTCCATCATTCGATCAACACTGGATGGCCGCGTTTTCTC